TAATCTTACACACAAGAAAAAATGATCACTTTTTCCGTGGAAGATTCCTTTAACAGGATTTTGATCCAGTGACCTTGCCAGTAGCAGCGTGGAACTTTGCCCTGTCAATAGTGGTCGTCAAAACGATTTAATAACGCACCAGTTTTGCTCCGCCCGCTATCGCGCGCATTACACACGGTCTTCTAGCGAAACTGGAGGGCCCATGGAATATCAGCATGAGGTACTCCATTAACCACCTCACTATTGAATGTGTTAGACCTTTCCCAATTTCGCTGAAGTCCATCGAGAATACGCGTGATAACGTCTGGAGCTGAACTGGCATATTTATCTCACAACTGTAAACATCCAGCATTCTTCTTGAATTCAGATAATTTAGCGCGGAATACGATTTTCTTGCTGTCAGTCTCAAAATGAAAACGAGATGCCTATTTACAAGTGAGGAATTAATGCTATCATTTGTTCACACTCACCATTATTTAAAACTCCGAAAGGATTAGCGGTTTGATGAGTTTGGGCTTTCTTGATATTGCTTTGGAAATCAAACTTATCATTTGCTGAAGACTTGTTTGAGTTTATGCAATCGATTCTATCAAGTAAGCTGACATATCGATACAATGTGTACATACCACTACAAATAGAATTCGTAAGTAGGGACGCTCCATGCCAACAACAACCTGGAACACGAACGGAGTTGACGACTTTTGCGTTCTGAGCGCCTTATCAGCCCTTATCAGTTGCAATCACTTCCAATAACCCAACAACACGTCCAACCACACATGGCACTTGTCACTATGGGCGCTCTGGTGTCAATGCGAGTCAGGTAACGGAATAGACGTCTTTTGTATTCTAACTGATCAATCAGCCCTTATCAGGCTACCCTCCTCTCACGTATCAGTCATGTACACCATAATGTCCCGAGACAATCAACACATAACACTTATAAGTATGTCTATCTATTACTCACTATATCAGCGTTATACGGAATTCAGGGGATGGACTCCCTGTTTCTGTAGTGCTGTGTTGATTCATACCAGCTGTCTCCACTCAGGCGCATCCATGCATGCTTGCGTGTGTGGTGCGCTCTGTGTGTGTGCGGTTGGTATCCTGCATGTCGGCACAGCCAAAAGCTTGCATTCAAGTGACTGGGAAGTACATGGGAGGCGATTCGGGGCCGCCTCCAAAAAATAAGCCCCTTGTTCCGCTCCAGGATAGCGTGGCTAACTACCTGGAGGTCTATCCTAGCCCGCACGACAGAGCCTGGCAAGCTACTCGTGTGCCTTCAATATGCCGAAACAGCAGCAATATGGATGGGCCTCATTCCCCTGAACCTGAGGGAGCCCCCAATACGGCAGCGTTGGGTAGGACCGCTCGGGAGAGGCTGCTAGAATCTCAGGGCCCGGATAGGCTGCCTAAAAGAAGGACTAAGATGGCGATCTGTACTTTCAACGCACGAACGCTTGCATCCGAAGCTCACATCGAAGATCTGATGATGCAGGCCAGGAAGATCAAGTACGACGTCATCGGACTGACCGAGACGAGAAGGCACCGCCCGCTACACGCCGTTTTCGATACTGGAGAAGAACTGTTCCTTGGAACATGCGACAGCAGAGGCGTTGGCGGTGTGGGTCCCGTCAACACGCACTTGGCCATAAACATCGATTCGTACGAAAGCCTTACGACCCGAATCGGACGTTTGAGATTGAGAAGATGTGGTTCAACTCCTGCTTTGACAATCTTCGTCGCCTACGCACCAACATCGAGCTACGACGAGGAGGAACACGAAGCATTTTATATGGAATTGGAGAAGTTCTACAAGGAAGACCATACCTTCTTCAAGGTCATCGTCGGCGACTTCAACGCCAAGATTGGCCCGAGAAGAACGGCTGAAGAACTTCACATCGGTACTCACGGAATGGATTGGAATGAGCAGGGCGAAAGACTGTCTGAGTTTATCATGTCGACCAATACCATCCATGGTAACTCGCAGTTCCAGAAGCCCTCTCACCTTCGCTGGACTTGGGAGTCACCTGATGGACAGTTCCATAACGAGATAGACCACATCATCTTCAATCGAAGGTTTTGCCTGACCGACGTCGCTGTTGTTCCAAAGTTCTACACGGGATCGGACCATCGTCTCCTCCGCGCAAGATTCCACTTCTCGATGCGTGTTGAGAGAGCAGCAAAGTTCAGGAAGCGAAGCCCCAGGACAGTCATCAACTGGGACCACTTCGCTTCCCTCGTCAGCTTATGGGAGGATTCCGTCATCGAAAACATCGACGAGGAGTACTATCGGCTCGTTGAACATCTTCACGATTGTGGCAAGAAGGCAGAGAGTTTGAAAGTCACCAAGGGACGTCTGTCTCCGGAAACTCTCGAACTGATACGCCAGCGTGGAGCCGCACGAGCTGCAGGCAATCACCGACTCACGTCCGAGCTTGCGAAGCTATGCAGAGAGGCGATAAAGGAAGATCTCAAGGAGCGAAGAGCAGCAGTATTAGCTGAAGCAGCAGAGGCTGGGAGGAGCATCCGCAATGCCCGCCGAAGCTATGCCAGCTACAAGACCAAGATGACCTGCCTCCGACGTCCAGATGGAACAGTTACTGCATCCCGAAGGGCAATGGAGAAAGTCATCCACGACTTCTACTCGGATCTCTTCGATAGCCATGTCCATCTGCCTACTTATCAACCGCAAGAGGATGGATACGTTGTCCCCTTCAGTTCTCTCTTCCGAAGTCCGACACGCCATCAAGTCGGTGAAGAATTGTACAGCGCCCGGTCTCGACAGGGTTAAACCGAATCATCGCCATTATCATCAGAACTCTGGCTCGACTCTTCACGCGCTACCTGTCGGAATGCAAGGTACCCACTCCGTGGAAAACCAGCAGGACCGTGTTGCTGTACAAGAAGGGAGACTTGGACGACATTGGCAACTATCGCCCAATCTGCCTGCTGTCTGTAATCTACAAGCTATTCACACGAGTCATCCTTAACAGGATCGGCAGAATACTAGATGAAGGACAGCCATGCGAGCAAGCAGGGTTCCGAAGAGGTTCAGCACGATCGACCATATCCACACGGTTACGAGACTCATTGAAGTTTCACGAGAGTACAAGATGCCGCTTTGTCTCACGTTCATCGACTTGAAGAAGGCCTTCGACTCTGTGGAGACAGAAGCGGTCATCGAAGCCTTGGGCAACCAGGGCGTCCCTACTCAGTACATCAAGATTCTTCGTGAGCTCTACAGCAACTTTACGACCAGAATCTCACCATTCTACAAGGAGGTCATCATCGACGTCAAGAGAGGGGTTCGACAGGGCGACACCATCTCGCCCAAACTCTTCAGCGCCGCTCTCGAGAACGTCATGCGTCAACTGGAATGGGAAGACATGGGAGTGAAGGTCGACGGCCGGCAACTACACCACCTTCGTTTTGCTGACGACATCGTTCTTATAACGCCGAACATCGAGCAAGCGGAGCGAATGCTGGCTGATTTCGACTGCGCCTGTGGTAAGGTTGGTCTACAGCTGAACCTAACGAAGACGATGTTTATGAGAAACGGATTGGTTCCTGATGCCCCATTCACGCTCAACGGAACGAACATCACCGAATGCTCCAGCTACGTGTACCTAGGTCGGGAAATCAATATGATGAACGATCTAGCTCCAGAGCTGAGCAGGAGGAACGAGCGGCTTGGGGAGCGTACAAGAACATCGAGGGAGTAGTGAAGAAGACGAAGAACATCCGGCTCCGTGCCCACCTCTTCGATTCCGCTGTCCTTCCTGCCCTAACCTACGCCTCAGAGACTTGGACTCTGCGCAGGCAGGACGAGCATGCGGTCAGCGTTATCCAACGCGCTGTCGAGAGGACGATGCTAGGAGTAACCCTATACACGCAAGTGCAGAGGGGAATCCGGAGTTCGGAACTACGCCATCGAATCGACGACCAGGGACGCTGCCGTTTTTGTCAAGGAATTGAAGATATAAGGTGGGCCGGACACTTCATGTTGCGATGACCGTTGGACCAGAGCGAATAGATTGGATCCGTCGGGACGTCAAACGAACACCTAGACGACCGCCGGCCCGATTTTCAGACTTCTTCACGAAAGCTCTGAACGAAAGGAGTGATGGACTTCGTGTCCCTCGAGCGAGGAGGATTCACTGAACCACCCTAGCACGCACAGGCGACGAGGAGACGGGGCTGGCGGCCGAGCAATTCGTGACCACAATAACGGGACTACAGGGTGAAACAGGATTGTCAGGCGTTTTATCTAGTTCTTATCACCATACCACGTTGGTTCCCCATCCAAACGCCCTAGACATAGGGAGAGAACCACCTCCGCGATGCTTTTACGGGGGGGGCGCGAGCTTAGTGGGAGGTTGGCGGACAAACTACACGGGGAAACAACACAGGACACGTTTTTCGGACAAGAGAAGCGCCTACAGCTCTACACAGCAAGCGCATCAGCTGCATCCCGATCGCAATTCGATTCAGTAAGTGCCTGCATATATTGTATCTGGAATATAAGTATGAAAAACTTACCTCTAAGTGCGAAACAGCGGAAACGCAAATAGAAGACAGCTTGTGGTCGCAGCGGCGCCTACCAGATCATGGAGACATGCGAGGCACGGGTAAATGAAAAGTGGGTTCATTCAAAACAGGGGCATTGTAGGAAGCCGGGTACGGATTAAGGTTATCGACAGGACTATGGCACCCAACGAAAGAAGAGAAACGGCCACGGGAGAACATGACGTGTTGCTCACTTCTCCCAGAATCCTTTCACCTCCCTGGCGGATATAGCCCGCCCTCATTTTCACAGAAAACGATACCTTCAAAGGAATCTTCCACGGAAAGAGTGATCATTTTGTCTTGTGTGTAGGATTAGTATTATCGAAACTAACGCTTATGTTCCGTTCTTTTTGCTATGCTCATGAGGCTAGGGGCCTAAGGTATCGTTTTTCTGTGGTAATGGAGGCGGAGCTTTTTCCGTGGAAGATTCCTTTAATTCCAACTTATATAAACACCATTTTGCTTATCTGGGTAATATATGTTCTAACGGTGCTATCATGTGATCCCCGGTGCAGTGGCAATTGTGATGCTATGACATTTCAACAGGGTTCGAGGGCGCAAGGTTTTGCAGACAGTTCGGCAAAGCTGCCAGTTTCAGTTTGTGGGTCATGTATGTTTCCACATTCCTTATATGAGAAAAAACACATTTGTCTGCTAGTCTGGTGCCTTACGACCGTCTCAGGATATCAGAATACCAGGTTTGCTCCGCCCGCTATCGCGCGCATCACATGGGAGGAACCACGGAATAGCAGCATGACGTACTCCATTAACCACCTCACTATTGAATGTGTTATACCTCCTTATACCCCTTCTCTCCAGGCTCAGCATCTTCCCTCCCTTTCTCCTCTCCCCTCCTTCCCTCCCTCTCTCCCCCTCCCCTCTACCGCCCGCCGACTCCGGCTGCCCCGGCAGCACCATGTAGAATGAGGCTGAGTGTGCTCGTTCGGTGTTTTTGTAGCCATTGTGGGTGTTATCACAATCACCACATCAGGTTAGAATAATACGTCAACATGAATATAGACCTTACTCTTAAAACGGTTCTTCTCTCCTCCCCCACCTCCCCCTCCTTATACCCTCCTCTCCGGCGCATGACAGCGCCATGTTCTCCCTCCCTTTCTCCTCTCCCCCTTCCCTCCCTCTTTCTCTCTCCCCTCCCTTCCAGCCTCCCCTTTCTTGCCCCTTCCCTCTACCCCCCTCCCTCCCCCCCCCGCTCATCCGGCTGCCACGGCAGCACCATGTAGAATGAGACTGAGTGTGCTCGATCGGTGTTTATATAGCCGCTGTGGGTGTTATCATGATCATGACATCAACACGAAGTAATGTCCTTCGTGCTCCCTGGTTCAGTGAACGGTTGGTCAGGACGTTGTTTTGACGTTTTTTTTTGACGTTGGTCCCCTCTCCAGTGCTCTACCGCCAGTGTTGCACAGTGTGAATAACCAAGTGAGTGCTGAATAGGTGTTTATAGCCACTGTTCTGTTATCACAACGATGCCATTGCAAAAAAGTGATAGGGCAAGCCCTGCGAGCTACCGACAGACGTGCATACACACAAACCGACACACCAAACTTCTGGTTTATATAATGAAGTGATCAGATGATTAGAAGACTGTATTGAAAATATTAGAAATGTATTTTTTAAGCAGAGCTTCTTAGCCTGCAATCAACACGTGTCTTATCTATTTGGCTAGATCTCATGATCCCAATCCTTGAAATCGTGCGGTGTGAAAAGACATGCGAAAGTGTTCCAATGTAACTTTTCGAATAATCCCAGCAAGAGTAGGCGTGGGGTTGAGACAAATGAGATTCTATCGATGCATTGCTACAATGGATATGTATGTTTTCGAAAACATAGCTGATAGTTTCACATATGCAGTTAAGCGAATGATTTCAGATTCCAAAATTCAACATCTCTTTGAATGGAACTTTGACTCTTGGAGAAAACACTGCAGACAATGAAGGGTTGAGAATCGCGTACAAGGTGAAGAGCTTGTCACTGATCCATTGTTTTTCGGACCAGGTACTGTATACGGGCGGCTTTGGGCGATGAAAGAGGGTCAAATAAATTGAGCAAGGTGGAACAGAGTCTGATCGTTCTGAAAATGTGGCGCCACGTTTTCACAACGACTAGATTCTCTTTCCTCTTCTTCAATTTGTCACTGTCGCCAATCGCTCGAAGAATGCGTCATATCGAACCAAGAGTACCACGCATACGGAGTGCTCCTAGATGGTGTCACAGTGTTTAAGTTGTTATAGTACACAAGTACTGAAACGACGAATCTTCACAAATGTTAATCTTGCATCATTTCAAGGAATAGTTGCAAGCTTGTTAGCATTTCTGCCTCCGTCACAAATTATTGTATGCTAGCACGCTATGCGCCTCGAGTGCAGTTCAAGAGCAGCATACAGCACGCCACACTTTCCGAGGACGAAAGGCTGTACAACGTGATAAAAATTCAACGTCCAGTACACGCCTTCAGAGTTTGATGAGTTTTGTGTAATGGCTATTGAGACTCGGATCGAGTGTAACAGACAGATGTGACAGATGATATTTGTAATTAAGGTGCTGTCCAAGTGTTCATAGTGCTTATCCAAAGCTCATGTGGCCTCCAGACTTTGTTAGCTTTCAAAAAATGATTCCTGCTACATATATACCATTTCCACTTGAAAATGGACATCGTTCAAATCAAAGTTGCTGTTTTTCAAAAAATCGTGGACATTTTTCAATTCGACCCGGAGATTTTTCAAATAGCCGTGGACAGTTTTCAATTCAACTTGAATCTTTTTCAAATGACCGTAGACATTCTTCATTTCAAGATGGATTTTTTTCATTTCAAGCCAGACACCGCTCAAATGAAGCGTAACCACCTTCATTTTCGGTCGGTAATTCTTTTCAACATCAAAACAATTCTTCGCAAAAAACAATAATATCCGGGAAATCCTTCTTGGTCAAGAAAATACTACATTTTCGAGTGGAACAAATGCGGGTTTCTCTACAACCGGACACAAGGAGAACAAAACCAACAAGTTTAATACATTGGCGACACCCTTTGAATTTTACTCCTTTTTCGCATATTCCAATTTTTGAGCGGTGCTATATTAACCCGGAATACGTTGTCAAACTTGTAATGGCCACGTTCTTTGAATCATCTTTCACAGTGAAAGTTTTACAGAAGGGTTGCTTGGAATTGCTTCTTCAGTGATAAGGTTGTTCTTTCTTGATGTAGAAAGCTGCCTTTTTGTATGCTATTAGCTAGCTCAATGATACAACAATTGGCAAAAAAGAGATTTGTGTTCAACCTCATTTGTGGATTCTACAGTGGAAAATTGGAATTTTCCGAGAGCGTTCCGAAGTTTCACCTTTGCGGGACGGGAGATTTTTGCTTGGTTTGCAGCCATTAAGCATTTGTACGAGACAATGATGTTTCAGCAGTTTCCGCATTGTGTTCTCATTGATTTGGTATGTACACCGTATGGAAGCGTTTCAGCATTGAACGCAATTTTCGGGAACACCCAAAAACTGTTTGGTCGCCAATGTGTTAATTAATGAAAGGTTGTCTAGCTGTCGCAGTCGTCGAATATACCATCATGTGGAGAATGTAGCTCGCACAATCCTGCTCCGTTACCGTTTCACCTCGCCGACGCTATCACTTGAAAACGTTACCTCACCTCTATCTACTGAGCTGCTTTGAATCTCTCACTTAGAAACATTCAAAAAATGCCCTCCACCATCTACATAATAAGCTTCATTTTTGAGTTGTAAGAACTAAAATCAGCAATACCTTTGAGAAGACATTCTCAGCCGGGTTCAGCATATAGGAGTATGGCGAGAGGAATTTCAGCTGATACGGTGTGTCATCCAAGAGTCGTCGCACCTCCTCCGTCTTATGAATCTTGGCGTTATCCATGATCAGCCATGCACCATTCATTCTCCTCTGTGTGGATCTCAGCCAGAAGCTCCTCGATAAATCACACAAAACTTAGGGCCGTTGCAGGTTCCATCATTGATGATTTTCGAATGAACGATGCCTTGAGTATTCATGGCAATAATTAGCGTCACCATGCGGCCTCTCACGGATTGGTAGTACAACGTTGGCGCGTTTTCCTCGTTTGGAGCGAGCTTGTGTCCTTTCGTAGGTGAAGGTTAAATCCGGATTCATCGATGAAGATGCATTTTCCTTGTCCTGCGGTGGCATGTGCAGTAAAGTCGAGAGCATAGGCTGACGACTTGCAATCGTCGTGCTGCTCTTTACACGACCGAGCTCGTGATGGCTCTTCAGTGTGGTTTTCAATTTCAACAAGGCGTTGAAAATCGTAGACACGGCTAGATTGATGTCGTCCTCCTTCAGTCGCCTTTGTATCTGCACCAGGGTATCCTCTGGATGTCGTTCAACGATTTCTTCAATGGTCTGTAGTACATCGGAGGTCAATTTGATCCTGCGGCTGCCTCCGCAGGGACGGTGAACAATGGCGCCTTCCCGCCTGTACGCACTGACGATGTTCCTTGCTGTACTCGCATTGACACCAGCAAATTCAGCAGCCTCGCGGATTGATTTGCCGTCGACTTCCGTAAGCTTGATGATAATCTCCTTTTGCGCCAGTGTGGTTCTACGGCACCGTCGTGGCCTTACAGATGCGGCGTCTTCCTCGTTGCTCATAATTATAGAATTCAATTAATTGGAGATTACGACAACGTAGCTCGTTTCAGAAATCGAGCTTCGCGCGCAATATTTGAAGGGGCACTGCAACCTCGCGCAGAAATAGCTTGCTGACCTTCCACGCAATCCCCTGATCACATTTGGCGTTTTCTTTCACCAATTGTATGCGTATTGATCCCTTGAGACAGAAACATTGCAAGAACAAGGTCGCATAAGGGAAGGGATTCAAATACTCGGGACGATCCTAGAGAAGGTTCGATGAAGAAAAGAGGATCGCTGAAACAAACGTGTATGGGGCAGATTAGAGTTCCAATGAGAGATTTTCAGTTTTTGTTCCAGGATTTGAACATCTCAGCACATCCGTCAATTTTCAGTCAAATTTCAGCGAAAAATGTTATTTGACATTCTAGAAGATGTGTCCAGTTTGATCTGAAAAATCTCACCAATGTTTTGAAAAGTGTCCTAAATGAATGAAAAAAAGCCGGGTCGAAATGAAAAATGTCCACGGTCCAGTGAAAAAAAGCCGGGTCGAAATGAAAAACGTCCTGAATCAATTGAATAGTGTCCACTTCAAAGTGGAAATGGTATAAAAAGCTGTCTATCTGTTTAGGTGTGTCACAAATTTATAGCACGCTTCACTAAAGCGCTGGAGCGTTGTACTTTCATTATGATGAACGGTTTGGAAGGGAACACATTGAATGAGGGACCGGAAGTGATAACAGCTGATAAGGGCTGATAAGAGGTGCAGGAAAGCAAGTGTTACCAAATTCATGGCAGTGAGGTCTTGGTTCCATAAAGTGATGTAGAGGGTGGGACGGGAACATGTTTGGTGTGGGAAATAGAGTTGTCACGGTCGATAAGATGCCCGTCAGGCTCAGCGATGCTGCAATAGCTCCGCACTCGCCCTGCCATCGCGATGAAGATCACTGGCAGAGCGACTGCCGAGCGATTATGAGATCGCGATTGAGGAGCGCCCGGTCTGGCGAGCATCTAAAGGCTGACAGAGGACCTGCAACGCAAATTTCACTGAATGCATAGAGCGCTGTGTAGAGGTTGGGACGGGACCATATGTGGTAGGGGACTGAGAGTGATAACTGCTGATGATGGTTGGTAAGAGCCGCCGGGACGGGAACATATTTGATGTTGGACCGAAAATGAACACAGTGGATAAATGCTGATAAGAACGATCAGCGCAATAGTATAGAGGTCAAGTCCAATAATAGCATTTCACCTCATTTGGGCTATCATGATCAGCAGCATACTCTATCGACCGCTACTTTGCCCAAAATTCTTATAACTGTACCAGTTTAGCTCCGCCCGCTACCGCGCGCATGACACGGAAGCCTCTGACAAAACTGACAATCGGTGAAGCTTTGGCTGCTTCGTTAAATGCATTACTGTCCGTTGCCCATCTTGGCTGTATCTCACTGTTTGATAAGCGCAGTGAAGTGCACAGCTAAAGTGATGTATGTAAACAACCACCATGCATCGAGAATCGAGGAAATTTAGCGGTCGAATAATTTTTGGTAATCTCAAGACGGAATGCCCAGTATTCACTATCAAATTTATTAGAGCATCCCATTCATCCTCAAGAACTCTAGAAGGTGTAGCGGTTGAAAGGTGTTTGAATTTACAATTATAACGCTAATGAAATGATATTGAAATGAAATGCATTATCTGCAATCTGGTTTCGAGTAATCTCTACGTTCGTACGCATATCGTAATTATCAGTCCTCATCTGTCGTTATCACTTTTTGACCCCCACAAAATATGTTACCGTCCAACCCCCATATCATGTCCCAAAATCAGTTCCTGACGACTGCTGCGAAGCGCACTATGAATTTTGTGAAAATTGTGTTTCAGCGCCTCTTATCTGCTCATATCAGTCGTTATCACTTTGTGACCCCCACCAAAATATGTTCCCGTCCCACCCCCTATATCATATCTTGAAACCAACTCCTGACGACCACTGGTGCCCGAGCTATGAATTTCGCGACACTTGCGTTCTAGCGCCTTTTATCAGCCCTTATCAGTTGTGATCACTTTCTTTACCCCACCAAATATGTTCCCGTCCCACCCCCTATATCATATCTGAAACCAACTCCTGACGACAAGACGACCACTGGTGCCCGAGCTATGAATTTCGCGACACTTGCGTTCTAGCGCCTTTTATCAGCCCTTATCAGTTGTTATCACTTTCTGTACCCCACCAAATATGTTCCCGTCCCACCCCCTATATCATATCTTGAAACCAACTCCTGACGACCACTGGTGCCCGAGCTATGAATTTCCGGTCAGACAGACAAACACATACACACACAGACACACACACACAACCGCTTAGCCGATTATATATACAGTCGAGATCCGTAAGTTGGGGTAGGCGTGTCACCGGAAGTGACGTGGACTTGATAGAGGTTGCGTAGGTAAGTCGCTGCCAGCATGCTTTGCTGATATCTCGCGATATATATTGGAAGCACCTTATCCACATAGATTCTATCAAGTACACGTCACTTCCGGTGACACGCCTACCCCAACTTACGGATCTCGAGTATACATACACACAACCGCTTAGCCGATTATATATAGTAGGATGGTGGATGACTGAAAAAATACGGCAATGACTACTGGTATTGATATAGTATCAAGCATTATTTGACCACATGATTATCATGATATTCGACGCATGGTATTATTTGCAAGCACCAGTTCGGTCTGCATTCAACCGCGCATGTCAAAGGTAACTTTCAGCGAAAATGGAGGCAGCTTATGGAGCGGTGAGCTAGAAATTTTTACCAAGTATCTTACTGTTGTGTTCTTTTGCGTTCTGACTCAAGTACCATAGACTGTTCATTTCCATAAAAAGAAGTGTACCGTGTCATGCGCGCGGTAGCGGTCGTTGGCAAACCGAGGAAAGGATTGCTACATCACCAGCCTTGCTTAACACGTTGACGACCGCGCTCGTTTTCGCTGTCTGGCTTGCATTATTTTAACCGCGCGAATGTGGTATGGCATCATGTCACACCGTACCACAAGGCACCTTTTCCTTGGAACCGTTTATTTGTTATCTTTCTTGTAGTAGGTCTCATATTTTGCGATTTTGGTCATTTCAGCAATTCCTGCGATTTGAGAGTGCGTAGAAAAGGCCAAAGCTAAGGAATCTTCCACGGACCATGGACCAGTGGGCGGGACCGGAAGTGGTTTTGCGACGAAATGCATGGTAGGTACGGATCCACGTTCATGGGAAGGTTTGAAGTGAATCCTGTTCACGTTCGTGCGTTCGACACGTGGATCCGTACCTACCATGCATTTCGTCACAAAAACTTCCGGTCCCGCCCACTGGTCCATGGTCCGTGGAAGATTCCTTTAAGTGGTACCCTCCTAGGATCACTCTCGAGCTTATGATATGAGCGTTGGGTTACAGTTGAACTTACATGTCGGAAACCACTCATAGACTCGAAAATTCATGGGAAAGGAGGAACGGAGGCAAAGGAAAACGTTCACAGACAACGCAGAAGCGGCTACAACTATGCAGGATCAAAGGACGCGCATATATCCGTCTCCCGGCAAAAGTGTCCTCACAATGTAGCAAATTGTTATTGCAAACATTTTTTCCACCGATCAATTTTAAGATAAGCACAGGAAGTATGACCAATGATCAGAGCCTGTTCATACTTTGCGAATTCGGCGAAGATGCGAAGATGCGATGATGCGACCGAGCGATTCTATCAAATGATGTGCGTGCATATTGATTGACTTGACTCCGCCCATAGCGTCACTTGCGAGAGCGCGTCTGGATTGCAGCGATCGCGCGAGGCGAAGATGCGAAGGAGCGACCAGCGTGGAAGGATAAGATACGCGTCGACAGATAAGATGCAAGTCTATGAATGAATCACTGATCTTTCTTTGTTTCGCTGCTACTGCTGTTATTACTCTTTTCTTCTACTGTCTATACTTTTCAATATCCATTTATTGACATGTCGCCGTTAAAGTATTCTATTTTAGATAATCTTCTCTATCTGCGTTGTTTTACCTCGGAAATTCTTTAAACATTAATATATTGGAATTTTCACAGCTTTGAGTAATACGCTGCATAAGGGT